TTCGGCTGAATTATACATGCACGTAGTAAATAGTTCCATATTGTCGGTAACAAGTTAGAAAATCCGTACCTTCATTCATTACAGGAGGGTTATCATACATTTTGAAATGTATTATGATAACGAAAATTACAGTAAATTTGTGCTGTGTACAGAAAAAATATCAATGCGCGATTGAATCACGTGACAGGTCACTGAGGTCAGCCATGCTTCTTCCACAGCTTGATTCGACTTTCGTTATTTGATACAGACATCCAGGATATTTTGAAGAAATTGTAAGTTCTTGAGTAATTTTGACAGTTTACCTCGATTAAATAAGAAAGATTTTATGAAACTGAACCACCCGTGAGATTAATTTTTGAAGATTAATTTGTTTATAAAATAAAAATTGTCGGTAACAGGGTAACGATTCGCCACAGTGACGATTCGTCCGAATTTAGTGACGATTCGCCCCACCTAAAATTAACAAAATTTTTTAAAATACATTTGGACTGAAAAAATATTTATGGTTTGGGTATTTTTGGAATTTGTTGGTATATCCTTTATATTTAATAGATAACAGATAAAGGTTTAACAGAACTAACAGTATAATAATAAATTATTGAATTAATCTGGATTCTCATTTGTATCAATAATATATTATGATATTTAATATAACTTTCAGAGTTTTAATAAATAAACTAGATAATAGATTGATGTAATAGATAAGTATGATAATATATTGATTTTATTTACTCCTAGATATTCGTTTCTACAAGCAGATTGTCATACATTGTATTTTCTATAGTTCTATTGGCCATGGTATTTGTCTAGTCCAACTAATCGTACTGCGCGACGAGATATTGTGCTATTTTCGTGTCTGGGCAATATCTCGCCTAAGCGAGATTCTGCCCCAGAACGAAAATATCTCAGAATCAAGCTTTGGCACGTCAATATATTTTGACTAGGTATTTGTCGCATGACATTATATAATGGCAGATTGGTGAATCAAAAATTATTGTTTATGTTTACAATGCATATCATAGAGGAAAAATAGAATCCCTTAAGAACACCCAAAATGACACAATTGAAAATGTTGCAGGTTCGGTTTGTTTGAGGCTAAACAGTACTGGAAAATGAAAGTTACTGTCCTTGCCCCCCTAGCACATACTGGCTTTAAGGCCCATTATGCCCCAGAAATGATTTTAATTTATTTCTCAAAAGCCTGTTATTGGTGGCCTGTTATAACTTCCAAAAAGTTACTCAATGGGCAATTATCTGAACCAACTTTTGCCTCAGCTGTTGCTTTTTAGCAATCAGTATAGTTAAAGTGATTTAGTATTTTGTATGGAAGTCAAAAAACTACTTTGTTTACATGCAAACAGTAAGGCCTTACATGTAGTAAGTCTGTCCTAGAGGAGGTGTCTGATTATTCTTTAGGCTTCAGTTCTCACACTGACACTAACTGAGTTCAAGTATTTTGCAAATTCAGTTTTTATAGTCTAAATTACTCTAATTATTGAAACAATCTAAACCAAAGTTTTTGAAAAACGCAGAAAAAAATACACAGAATCTTGAAGAACAGTATCCTTTTTTGTTCAGTTCCCCCATTCTTTTTTTCATTAAGGGAACACACATTGTATTCTTTGGGAATCATACGCCACTTTTCATGGAATGGCACTAACATGTCACATTGGAGGTTCATGATCACTGCCATAAAAATACACCTGCTAATGTTTCTAATTTAAAAAATTTACCATTACATGTTTAAATGTTGAATACTGCTTAACCTAATGCTATTGGGTGTGAACAGTAGCATGCACTTTCCAGTACTATCCATAAACTGGCTCAATCAAACTGAGTCTGCAGCATTTTCAATATTGCTATTTTGGACTTTTTTTTAGAATTTCTGTTTCTCTTTATGTACATAATTACCTAGTATTAAGCTTTAAATGAGCGAATAAAGAGACCACTTAGGACAAACACACATGCAAACAACTGGATTTTATTTATTTTGCTCAAGCCCTGTCACTCAGTCATATTTACCTGTATTTAAAGAAAGATTCTACAACTAGATTTTTTAGAAGGTAATTCCTGATCCAGAAGTGTTCTCCCACAAACAAGTGCGTGGTTCCCCATTCTGCTCTATGCTAGTGCATACAAAAACGGACGATAGTACTTAGACTGTGTATCATATAACACTTTATTTACATGATGATTAGGGGATTTTCTAATAATATGAAAAAATTGTTGATATAAGAAAAATATATATATATGAAATTAAATTGATAACGTCATGGGATTTGACTGATTAATTTCACAAATAATCATTGTATATTATAAACATGAATGATATTGTCTGAATGGTTAAGGTCAACATTTTACTTGCTTCTGATTTGTCCCAATAGTTTGATGCATTGACCTGTTTTGAGTTGGTATATATACATGTACATGATGTAGCTGATTTGACTATTAAGCCAAATGATTTAGATAACTTTAAGTTGGGAATGCTTTATTGTTGATATGAAAATCATATGAATGTTAAATAAGAAATGCATTTATTTCAGGTGTGTGATATAATAAAAACTGTTGTGTGAGGTTTTAAATGTGACATGGTCAAGACATACTATGATAGTATTGTTCAGTGTAAGTTCTCTTTAAATGTTTGTTTATAAGAAAAACCCACATTTATTTTATTGAGCTCTGGAAAATTTGAAACACATATTTGACTTAGTAGTCAAATTTAAGAACAACACTACTGTCATGGAAGTATTTCCTGTACAAAAGCAGTATACCAGCTTTTTTTGCAATAAATGCTGTTGTTTTTTCCTTGTGTCCAGAATGATATGCACATACTATTAAGAAATATATTCAGAAATACATTGAAAATTGTATATTTGTGCTATTCTAATTCTATTCTTCCCAATACATGTATGAATCAAAAGCACTGTTCATTTTTGGGACATTTTACACTATTCAAGTAATCATTCTGGGAAAACAGAGCGAGTGCATGATCTGAAATTTTTGCATATAGGTTTTTTGCCAAGATCTACATCAAATAGAATATCAAATTATCAATCTTGAAATATTATTTCCATTCTGGTCATGTCAAAAGCCTCAGTGGAGTCCCTTTAAGTAATTCATATATGACATTTACCTTTAGATGACTGACCATCATGGTCAAATACTGAATTTAACTTATTGTCATATTGTTAATATTTATTTGTTTTGTGTTCGCATATTAATTTATAAGAAGAATTCCTTGAAAAATATTTACCTCATTTTGACTGGAAAAAGTACATATATTATAACAACCTTAGCTAAAGTAGTAATAAGAGTATGAGTCTGAAGTTTACAATATTTATGATTTCTCTTTGGTTACAGAGAGAAACAGTTTTTCTTTTTGTATCTTATTATATTGAAAAATGTATAATTTGCTGTCAAGTTGTGTGTTACTAAATGTGTAGTACATTTTACATTATCTTCTGTTCTTAGTAATTAATCTATAGAGTAAGTGTATAGGTAAAAGAATCTCTGGTAAAAAATATTGAAAATCTTAAAAGCACATAATTATAATGTGTCAAAGATAAATAATTTTGTAATTCTTTAGAAAGGTCAAAATATGTGTTCAATTATGTTTTAATGATGTATTTAGAGCATTTTAAATGTTTAACAACTGAAAAGAGTAACACTGAACAAACAGTCATGTGTTGTAAAGGTAGCAAAATGTGAGCAAAGTATTATTTTGACTTACATACAAAATACTGAATTAATGTAATTATACAATTGCCAGATAACTTATCTACATGTACATGGTCAATGAGTACATGTAACTATTTGAGAACTGCAACAAGATATGTAAAAGGAAAGTTTGAAAAATAAAATGTTATCTTTTCTAAGGCTTAATGGACCTTTAAAAAGTTATTATTTAATATATAATTAATGCAGATATCATATGTGCAGAAAAAATTGTGGTAAAATGATATAACTTGCTTGTTTAATACTGATTACTTGTGCATGATCTTTAATATATTATAAGACATTAAATTTTGTTTTGCTTTTTTTAGGTGACTTCTGTCATGTTACTGTTTGATAACAGTGAAGGTACAGTACATGTAGGTTCAGACAAGTTATATAACATGTATACAGACAAGATAGCTCAAACTGGTAGTTTGTTATAGCAAAAAGTGATGAAGTTTCAGCCATGAAGTCTTCATCGTGATGATGATCATCATGATCCTATTTTATAGATTCTTTGCAATTATCTGTAAGAAGAGGTTTCTGCTGCAGAAGAAGAAAAAAATTCATACAGGTTTGTCATTTTTTCAATAATAAATTTAGGTCTGTTGTTGATTGCATGTACATTAAAGGTCTTTCCTTATCATAAGGTTCTAAGGTTTGTCATCTTGTGGTAATTACTGATCCCTTAGTAATTAATTACAGTCATCAAACTTTTTAAACATGTTTACTGTAATCACTTGTTGCATGGTGCATATGCCTGAAGCCTAGGATTTTTGTGACAAATATCATCATGTTTTACTATTAGATTATGTGGAAAAATGATTAATAAATGAATTATAGTTTAAGGGTTTTTCCAAATTTTCAACTTGCACCGATGTTGTTGTATATCAGGGTTTTACTTTCTAATGTTTGACTGATATCATTGCAGACCTTTACTAATTCAAAATCATGACAAAGTATTTAAAATTAAAATTTTCCTTTCCAGAATTACATTAATTCATTGTAGACTAGTAATCATACAAAAAAAATATATATTACTGTAAACATGTTACACTAGAAAATTAAAAAAAATTGAAATGTATGCTCATAGTGAAATGATCCATTCAAAAGTTAAATTTTCAATTATTTTTCTGAAAAACAATAACAAGATTATGCCCTGCTTCTAGTTTCTTGTATTTGAACAAATTATGCTGTTTAATTGTTTTTACTAAACCTTGCTCCACTTTGCAGTAAGAAGTTGCCCACTCTGTTCAAATGAAGCTGTCTGAAGTACCAAGTAGAACAAATGTATTATTTCTGGAACAACTTAATTGAAGTGAAGCTTACTATGTGAAGGAGTTATTTCTGTATTCAAAAGGAAACTTCAGCATACAGAATACCAATTTAGGTATAGTACACTTTAAATTTTTACTGTTATCCATCTAAAGAAAGCATGAGATACAAAAATAAGCGATAATAATTATTTTCCTGACACCAGAATACACTATGGTTCTGCTTGCAGTTAGAAGTGATGTTTCTATTCTTGTACAGCAGCATTAATTGAAACCAATATTTGTCCTATCATTTAATTGAAAGAAATTGACAATAATCTTGTTTGTTTTTCAGCAGCATTTGTAAAGTTAATTTAGTCTGTATATCACACCATCCATTGCTTTTGATTTTCTTGTGACCAGAAACTAGCATTTTACATAGTGGTGTAAGCTAACTATGATAATTCATGCAAAGATATGATAAAGATATATATATATATAATATATATAAGAAATATGTCTTCGATTTTACTGGTAAATTGTTATGTATGGAGCACATTGTCTTTATGATGTTGAATATATTCAGTGCCAGATAAACAATTACTTGCAACATGACAAATATATTTTATTTCAGATATTTGTAGCTTCAGTTATGGGAGTACACAAGATTAATTGAACTGGAATCCCTTCAGACGTTGACATAGCTAAATTTCGCAGTTTCAACTATAAATGGACATTAAATTAATATACATTGGTTTTATTTTATACATGTATTTGTAATATTTTTGTTTCCATTATTTCCCAATATTGTTAATTTTGGATAATATAATGCCACAGAAAACTTGTCGGTCTTGGAGTATGGCTGTTTAACAAAAACACTACAGAGTGTTCGTCAGAACAATGAAATTACAGTTTTGCTTGTTAATGAACTAATTTACATAAATATATAATTTTTGTAAGTATGAAGAAATTTGGAACATATCATATAATGGGTATTTGTTTCTTTTGCATGCAAGATCCAAATATATTTCATAGAGTGAACAGCAGATTTAATATTTTCATGAATGGCATTGAAAAAAATATACAATGTATAACTTTGGCACAATGTTGGTAAATGGAGGCTGCTATTTTACTGTGACTGAAAGTAGTTCAGATATGACACCTTATTATGTCCGAGGTCTATAGCCCATCATACAAGCCAAAGAGAGCAGATTTTTTTTTTCTGTGTAGAATCATTAATTTTCAATGTTCAGATTTGAAAGTGATTCTGTCATATTTCCTGAATTTGTTTAATTTCCTTCATGATTTGCAAATATTAATTATCTACTTTTTTATTTATCACATTTTTCTGAGAAATAAATGTATTTCCCACAAAATTTCTGTTTGTTTATAGGCTTTTCATCCTCATTCAAATAAGGGTCTGGCTACTTTTGAAATTATACTTTATTGTGAAATAATCTAAAAGTAATGTCATTTTTTACTGAAAGCATGTTATAAGTTATGGTGTTCAATTGATTTCTGCAGGACAACTTATGAAGGAAATGAAGTGAGTTGACATTTGCCATGTTAGTATCAAAAGGCAGATTTAGTTTCAATAAATTATTTTTGATGCTGTTATGCCCCTTTTTAGCTCGACTTTTCTTTTTAAAAAAATAGAGTATTGTTACAGTCATGGCATTGCCGAGGTCATCCACAAACTTATACTTTGATCATTACTTTTTAGCTCACCTGAGCACAACGTGCTCATGGTGAATTATTGTGATCCCCACCATCAGTTGTCGTGGGTCGTCAAAAATTTCTTTAAAACAAATCTCCTCCGAAACCAAAGACTGCACAGTAATAAAACTTTGCAGGAATGACCCTACAGTTAGTGCCCTTAATTACTTTTGTCCAGTGCATAACTTGAAAAATAGTACATGTAGTTTGAATTCAATACAAATTCATACAATGGTCAAGCGAAATGAGAGAAAGTGCAGTGTACAATAACCATTACTCAATCTGCAGTATTTATAGAGTTATTGATCTTTTTCCTTGTCTTTCTGGACTTATTATAGAGTAATTCAATAAAACTTCATCAATGGTCAACCACATTGAAAGGAAATGCAACATACAAGAACCACAACTTACTATCTTTAATTGCCCACAAACATAACTCTATTTCAATTCTTTACAAGGTATTCTGTTACATCCTAATGTCCAAAGCAGTCTTGTGGGGGTATTAATCACATTTAGTGATAGTTCTAGTTTTAACTAATCATACTTTACTTATTGTTTTGTGAGAATTTCATGAATCTCTCTGGATGAAATTTGTGTGACTTTGATAAGTCATGTATTCACAATCACTGAAAGTTTATCCCTGATGGAACACTTATTACTAGTATGCATAGAAACAAAGATTTTTCAACCATTTTCTTTTCGAGTTGTTTGAACACTATCCAGTCTATATGCACATGGGTTGATGATAACTTGAATATCAGATTGATAATAACTATAATCCCCAAAGAATGAGCATGTTTTTCATATGCCTTATAAGTAGATGAAATTATCAATGCTTAGTCATTGTTAATAGAGGACTTGTTATCTACTTCCAGCTTCTGCTTCTGTCAGTAGTGTACTCTTAAAATTTATCCAATTTAAAGTATTATTTTGAGGATATAAAGCAATTTGGTTTTTCGATCTCAACTGAACCACTTGAGAAAAAGTACTGGTTTTTAGTACTTTTGATAAACCGTGTGTAATTGTTGGATGTCAATGATAAAATCTCCCTGAATAAAATCATATGCAAAATATTGCACTTTCCTTTGTACTCAGTCATTTCCACTTGAATATGACTTGACCCTTTAAAAAAAGTTGCAAAAGGACAGGAAACTTGGCCTTTCAAGTGATCACCAGCAATATAATGTCATATAAATTTGTCAGCGCAAGCGACCCTCCAGTGCTTTCAGTGCTTTGATTTCAGACGTCTCCGCTTCTTCTGTTATTGCGCGAAGTTCATACTCACTCATATTTTAAGATTCCGACAACAGAAAATTATCTAAATTATATCAAAATGACCAGAAATTTAATCTGATTTTGTCTATTATTTTTTTGTCTAAAACTGTTCATTTGAAAAATAATTACTTTCAATATTAATAATTTTTGACGCTCCGACGTTTTAAAACTTGTTTACATCAACCGGACGTAATTATCGTCATCAATAACAACAAAAACAACAGTATCATAATTATAATTATTATCATTTTTGTAACTTAAAATTAAGAAATAGAATACAGCCACATTTCTTTATATGGTAGTTCAGATTTACAACGAGTTTTATTTAAAGTTCTCCCACCAAGAATAGGCATGTTTTCTGTTTTCAGGGACAATAACCCCTACACACTGATAATAAACCAATAAAATACATGTATAATATTCCAGGCCACAATTCCGAAATTTCGTTAACATATTAATTTACAAATTCATTTTGAAATAGCCATGGATCAAAGTTGTCGCTCCTGGTGGACATCTTTTCTGCATCTGCTATTAGTGCAAGGGCAACTACTCCGGAATCACTTTAGATACCCGAAATAGTACATATGCTTATTTTCTTATAAAATTAGGAAATTTCCAACCAATTTTAGCTCTAGCCAGATGCTCGCACCCACGGTTGACAACCCTACGCCGTTTTGTAATCTAAGGTAAAGTGGAACAGTGTAATATCTTTTTTTTACACATTTTCAAGGAGACACCCCCCCCCCCAAGCTAATCTCCCTTTGCACAGAAAAAAACTAAAATGAAAGAGGAAGTTCAAAAAATGAAATGAATCAGTTCATGAATTCTTACATTGGTGAGCATTGACGTTAAAAGTACATTGTACTAAAAATGTATTTGCTATAAAGCATGTTCCTATAATATATTTGTTCATTTGTAAACAGTTTTGCACAATATCCCATCTATATCAGTAAATGAGAACAATTGTATTGCTGTACACCTGGTCACACTGTGAGGAGATATTCATGTAATATTACGATAACGTTGCTTTGTTTTTGTTTTTAATTTTTTTGACCACATATAAAGAATGTTGTACTGGATACGTACTATATTGCAATTTAATCTTAATAAATAAAGGCAAAAACGGGGACATAAATAGACCCTGGTAAAAAGAACATGGCTTTTATGATCTTGTAAATTGCGCACGTATCGTTGAACGTACATATTTTTCGTTAGATGTATTGCATGTACATATATTTCTTCCGTTTACATTTCAAAACGTTATGTTATGTAGAAGTGCTACTTAAATCATTAAAGTGAATTGGTTCATAATGGAAGGCCAGTAATACTGTAAATAGTGATGTTGATTGTATAATTATCATATATGATAACAAACTACTGAAGAATGTTATTAGGATAATGTTGAGTGTGAGATGATATATCCATATAGAGCAGATAAAAATATCATAAAACAAACATATAAAATGTTCATACAAGATCACTTTTAGCACTCTATTAACATTCGTTTTCAAAGAAATATATCATCAGAATAATGAAATGATTCTTACAACATTATCACTGTTTCCATCAATATTGGAAGACTAAATATTAGACCAATCCACATAAAGACTGTGCGCACTTGTTTATAAATTTAAACTCAATTAATTACATTTTAATACATACACGTACTTCTAAACTTCTTTTTTGCGCAAGCTTCTTGTGACAAGGTTTTTTCCTTGTGTCTAAATAATCAAATTTATACATGGTGTCGAATAGTGTGCATTAATGATTAAATTTGGATAAAAAAAGTTTTGACGTATTATGGGGGTAGCCACGAATGAATTATGATAATTTTCATACCACAAGATGAAATCTTGTATTTTTAAGAGGAATAAGAGCTTGAATGTTCTGTTTGTTATATACATTTTTCTCTTTTTTTTGTCATTGCAATTTGAAAGACTTCCCTTTGAATTTAACATATTGGCTGTATTCAGAAGAAGGTTGCTCGACAAGACAACAGTGAAAATACAGTGTGTTTCTAACAATGGTAGTTCTAATAGCAATTTGAAAGACCCTGAACTAACCTCATGTTCGTGTTCCGACTCTAAAAAATCATATTAAATCACTTACGTACTTGAAGTAACAAAGTTCGGTCAAAATGTCCAAAATTTGGTGGTGGAAAATAATAATTTCATTATACATTACTGAGTACAATACTGATTCTATTGGACTAGCACATAGCTGCAAAACCTATATTATATTAAAGACTTGGCTAGCGCCTCGTCCAATATAGAATTTGTAGCTGTATACTCGTCCAATAGAACTCACTATTGTACTTTTAATCTATAATTACCTCGTATTATAACTCATTAACATAAATACTCACGCATCTCTGCGATCATTGGATCATTTACGAGCATGTAGTCACATGATGCTGATTCGTAATCTGATTGGTTGTAGAACAACCAATAGTCGCCATTCTCTTTAAACTTGGCTGAAAAGCTAAAAGAAATGAAAAGTTTGTGCAATAGATCGTATTACTTCGACAAACTTCGTCATTTATAATTATTATTAGATAGCGGTAACGTCGGATATCCAACAGTATACTTTATATGGAAGCCCGACTTGAGTAAAATTATATATGATGTATTTGGTATTTCTTTTGTGTTACCTGGCACTGGACACGTCTCAAGTTTGAACAATAAAGAATTACGGTTACTGTTCATTTTGAAGAAAACAATCAAACATAGATGCTGTTTATTGTTGATATATTAGAGATGTTTACCTGCATAATTTTGGTTGCAAAGTTTGACCTGCAAGTCTCCGGCGAAGTTCCAAGTCGGTTCCATAAGTAGTGTTCAAAACAATTGTTTTTGTTGATGGTCCAGGAATGGTCGTCAGGTATATCATATCGCACTGTAATTTGATATCAGACGCCTTTGTAGTTGAGCAAAAGATTTAAAATGAGGAGGTTTTTATCATGGTAAATAAAGTCGTACTTATATGACACAAAATGTGCGTCAATATTTACATATGTAAAAACACACTTGAGATTACTTGAATTGTGATCATTTCATTTTTTTACAAAGATAACGCGTTTTTTATGACTGATTTTATAACCTTTCACCGGAGGTATTTGTGGTTCATTTTCCATAATGTCTAAACTTTTCTTCTCTTTCCGAGGACCATTTCAAATGGTGACAAGCGAGATTTTACGCACGCGTGAAATGGCTGCGAAGGAATGGTCAGCGGTGCACTGTATATGTTTAGAAAAGCGGAATAAAATGTTACACAGACGAATGTCTGTTTGGATCTGCGCAGTTGTTGAAATTAAAGGGGAAGCGTTACGGCACGAAAATTCCATTATTTCCGTTCCACTAGTATTCGTTATATATTGTGACAGGACGGGTACCATTCAGTCAATTTTATAATGTGCCAGGAATCCGACACCATGTGTCTTATTTATATGACAGTGTTGTTCGTAATGGTTTGTCATAATGCCGTGAAAATTAATTAATTATATCACGATTAAACGATATATAAACTTTTTATAAGCAAATGACCAACAATAAAATATAAAATAAGACATTAAAGGCATCAGACCCGTAACCAAATTTAACCAAAATAAAACAGCACAAGTGTGGTATAAAAGGCGGCTATTTAAGTTTTTGAAACCAGACCTATGTCCGCACAGCACAATCCAAATCATCTCGAAAGGAAAATACAACACTTTTAAAACGAGCTTGTTTAATTCCTAGTTTCTAAAAGACAAGAAATAGATATATTGAAAATTTCAGATGTTTAATGACTGTGCAATGCAATAGTTCTTATACCGAATACCGATTTGTTTTTTACCAAATGCGAAGCAGTTCCCCTTAAGGTGGAGACATTTTGATTTTAGCCTGGTTCCACAATATTAAATCTCGGTAAACTACAGACAATTGTGGTTACGGAGATAAGAAAACATTGTCTTTCCATTTGAAGAAAATGTAAATAGAAATGTTTTGCAGCAAAGCCAGATATTTAAAATTGGTCTTGAAGTGTAAAGCCTTTACTAAAGGTGATGTATGTGAATGTTTTTATGCACTTGTGTTTTTATTGACGACTCGCAAAATAAATCGTGTCATTCCGCAGTAAATCATGCGTCTTATTCAAAATCATGCAAGACTCGGCTGCATATAAGTTCTTTCGGTCCTTTCCGAAAATTGACGGAATGGCCCGAAACGTAGCGATTGGTCAATAACAAACGACGAGGCGTTCCGAATGTGCAAATCCTAACATTGTATTCTAGAATCAGTTTAAATTAGCCAACATAGTGACTACTATACAAACGTGACATGTGTGCACATTTCCGTCTATCGTAAAATTAAATTTAAATTTCATACCAAACTTTATATAGTCCTACATGATCAATCACTAAAAAATACTGTGGTTTATTTCAATCTTATTTAAAATTTTAGAAACGCTTATGTTATTGTTTTTATACATTTATTATAATATTAAAAAGACCTCAACAACAATAATTTTTAATAATAATAATAATTTCGTTACAAACATCATATACGATTTGAGTTACAAAACGAACTGCACTCGCTTATTTGTTATACTTCGCAAACTTTTGTGGTACATGTAAATTTTGTTTGTTTGTTTTGGGTTTTACGTCACATCGACACAGTATAGGTCATATTACGACGGTGGAGGAAGACCTCAGGTGCCCTTCCGTGCATTATTTTAGGCACGAACGGGCACCTGAGTAGAACCACCGACGTTCCGTAAGCTAGCTGAACCTCACAAGAAGGAATCCAAAGTCCTTGTCGGGATTCGAACCCACAGCGGTGAGGGGCAAGTGGTTTGAAGTCAAAGACCTTGACCACTCGGCCACGGACGCCCCAACATGTAAATACATTATTGTAAAAGCAACAACAAAATAATGTAATAATGTCAACGTGTGGTAAAAGTATGCTACATATAACTGGTATAGTTTTACAGTTATTCAAAAAGGAAAGTAAAATATTGAAAAGTAGCATTAAAACAAATCGTATCCTTTAGTATAGATACATGTATATGTTTATATTCAACCTACGTTAAGTCAAGAAAAAATAATACAAAATGTTATTATGCGTAAACATCTCGTATGGAAGCATAGATTAATATGGTGGCTGATTTGGAACACTATTGTACGTCGGGTTGTCGTTAGCGACAGCACGACTGAGCGACAAACGGCGCGTTGTCGGACTTTCGTCTTGTCGTTCTGTCGCTAACGATGCACGCCAAACGGCGCGTTGTTGGGCGGCGTGTTTTCGCGATGTAACATTGTCTCTCGGCTCAAATTGAAGGAATTGCGACAATGCGACAACGCGCCACACGACAACGCGCCGTTTGGCGTACTTCGGTATCGACAAGACGACAGTGCGACAACGCGCCGTTTGGCGACAGGACAACAAGACGGAAAGGCGATAACGATATAGGTTGTGTTGTCGCTATCGACAACGCAACGCGCAAAGTGTGCCAAATCAGCCACCATAGATTAAAGTATATGCAACTGTATTTTATGTTTTACTCACAGGCTCCTCACCTTTATGGGTTCGAATCGTGACAGGGTTATGGATTTTTTCTTTATGTAAAAGAAGCTATCGACCATCAAACTCCCAGGAAAATGTGCTTTGTTGGATTGGTCTACATAAGGCACATTTTTCATAACTATTTCAATATAAATGATATTTTGTTTTAGAAGATTTATCTGCTGTATTATTGGATCATGCATCTCACTAATACCTACAACATTCATATATATTTCTTCCGTAGTTTGTTGTCAAATATAATACTAAACACTGTCAACAGAGTATTTTATGGTACATGCATTACAGACTTTCCAGTACAAAACAATTCACTTTAATCTGATGTATATGTGTAATGAATTTGCTCTGCTTGGAAATTTGAAATTTGAAACAGTCCATTTCAAGTTATCAAAACTCAGCTACCAAAAGAGTATAGAGCCTTTCAGACTGCACGGATGAGCAGGCGTGCCTGTCTCTATACTCTTGGCAAAGGCTAAACACTTTATCGGTACTTTTGATACTGATTTTGCGAAAATCACACTGACCTTCCAACATTCATGATTATGCACGTATATATGTATGTCAAACATCACCGAAGAATTGATTGTCATCCATGCTTCGTCCTTTATGATTTCCGGTTTGTTGTTACCATGGTTATAGTCATCAATAAATTTCCTTTCATTGTTGCGTATTTCACGTGTATCTGCTGCAAAGAGTAAACATGAAAACACCGTGTACTTTACAACGAATGCATGGGAATAATTGTGAAGTCTGTGCAATTGCAACATCTCAGAAACGATCTTTTTTTTCTATTTACTATTTTAGTAGTGGTAGCCTAACCGATCAAAACCTAATATATTCGTGCAGTATTTTCCAACGCTTCTGCATTACATGTAATGAGACAGAAATTGTGTGGGTTATATCTTTTTTTTTCGCCTGTTTGGTATCCGGAACAAATTGTCGAGTTACGTAACCAAAGCCACCTGCGCTCAAAGCAAATTTACATAACAATTAAAACAATCATAAGATACGTTATATACAACATTACAATAGCTGTTTGATTCCAGGCTTGAGAGGTAGCGTAGCAATTTAGGAATCTAGGTTCGAGCCTTACAGGGCAACGATAACAGTACCTAGTTTTTCTAAGAAACGCGACTCTAAAATGGTTCAAATAACATCCAAACTTTCATTACACATTGGATTGCCATGTGTTCACGTATATTTAAACTATTAATTCAATTAGTTAGACTTATATAGTAATATTTAAAACGCACTACAAACATCTTTATTGAAAAGAAAATATATATGAAGACAACTCACCTAAAGTGCTGCAGCAAAGAATATAACCAAATATCCATAAAACTCTTTTGTCCATTTCTTCCCATGAATTATTTTTACTCTCCGAGTTTTATTTACAAGCTGTAATATTTATCTCAACTCGTGAAATGCATTTAACAAGAGGTAGCGAGCGTAAAAGTTTAATAAAATTATCTTCTTAAGCAATTTATTATCAAACTTTACTCTAGCTACAGTGCAATTTTTCTATTGTGGTCCGCCTCGAAACCATGCGATATGAATACAAGAATAATTTATAATGAGTTTACACTTGATATTTGAGGCAATAAATTTATTCATTTGTTCTTTACCAGTATTAGTTAAACCTATCAACATATTTTACTTTGCCATCGATACATTGTACAATCTTTCTTATTTGTTTACATCTGTAATTTATAAGGTTTTTCAAGCATTAAAGGTGACATGAAAGTTTTCAAAAATGATGCCTTACAAGGGGTTTTAAGCACTGAAATACCATGGCTAAAAGAGAAAGTGGGTTGGTTGCACACTATCCGGTATTCAAGTATATGTACCAAAACTACAGTAACTTGAAATTTATCAAGTTAACAAAAATATCAAAACATACCCCTTATCCGTCTTCCGAGCCTTTATTTTGTATACCACACTTGTTTTATTATATATTGGAGTATTTTTGGGTATTATTACTGGTACTGATTATTTTCCTATGTCAAAAAGCCCGTGCATGAAGAACTATCTGTTGTCGTTAACCATCTTTTAACAAGAAATGAAACATTGGGTTCCTATGCTACGCAACAATTCGTTTAAAGTCATCAATTTATCAAACAAACTAATAAGCCGGGTGTATTCTACGTTTTTGTATAATTTGGACTTTCTCATATGCTTGTATATTCCTGTTTTAGTATGATACGTAAATTCCCGAAACTTAGAAATATAACAAACGTTTGTTTAACTTTTTACTTCTAGCGTGAGGTGTGCAAATTTAAACAATGACATGAGGACCTTCATTAGCATACAAATGAACACATTCCTTTTTGAGTTAAATGTTTAGCCTCTAGCAATTTCTAATTTCTTCTTAATGACAAGGCAAACATATGTAATGATTGATTAACTGTACAGTACTAAACGTTGTTAACGTTATGTTCTATGTTCGCGCGGTTTGTTTTGCTTTTATTTTTTAAAACAATGAATAGATCTTGTTATTTTACCTTGTTAGACTAAATGTGTTTAAATGTTTATGGTAAACGTCCCACTATTTATCAATCTGTTTTCACACGGCAGCTATTATTAATTTTACTCCCACGGCATCATTATAATATAGTTTGGAATGTGGCGGGACTACTTAGGGAAGAAACTCTAAACTAAAGTTACAATTTATATAAAAGATTTGCCTCCCTTGATTGAAAAAAAACCGAGTATTGAATGTCTTGGTCAAGTTTGGGAATAAAATATTACTAACTTTACAAAAGTTTTATTTGCAATAACACAGTTATATCCTGTATTTTCGGCATCATTTGTAGCTTCATCTTTCTGTTTAAGACACCTATAAATGCGATAGTAGTTTCCTGCAAGTTTGTCTCTGAAAATGATGTGGTAAACATTTAAGATATTTCAAGCCAGAAGTATACAGCAGTTCATTTCTGATTGAGATTAACCTTTGCCACCAGTCTAGAGCCTGCTCATTCATGCACTCTGAGATGGCTCGACTTGCTTCAGATTTGCAAAATTGATAATGGAAGTTCAAACAATGAAATAGATAAAGATGTGGGAAGGTTAGCCTAAATAATTATTACAAATGTCAGAAGTTGTTTTTAATTTGTTATATAAATTATAAAACCACTTACGTCAATCTTTATCTTCTATTTTCAGATATATTAAATTACACACAATAGAACCGTACCTGATATAGTTTCCATGACTTATTTTCTATATTTAGTAATTCTATACAAACCATTACAAACTTAATTAAAATAAAGGAAAACAGATCTGCCTGGATACATTTATATTATCTGCGGTTTAATAATGTTGCACTGCAATCAAAAACTCAGCAATTTTGATAGATCAGTTCGCTACAATGTTCTCCAAGTAATATAAGTCGCTTGGAACGATTTTCTATATTGGTCATTTTGAATCGTACATGTACATTACAAGGGTCACAATTCTAGATATAAAAAAGGTACCTTTACTCAGCTACATGATCACCAGGTTTATTTTCTTTCCGGAAAAAGATCGTGTCAAATAAACTTTCGGAACAGACGACCGGTTTCTGGGAAAAATTCCAGGGACAATATTACATGTATATAGTCCAGCTTGCATCGCAGGTGTGCAAGTAAAATGGAAGAAAAAGATTTCAAGTAAAAACACAGGTACCACAATTCATAGAATCAGGAACGTGTATTTAATTCTGTACCAAACTATATGTCAGTTTCAACGATAATAAAGAAGAGCCATTGTTTACTTTACCATATTAAAATGTCGATATTGCGCTTTTGTTTAGAAGTGTTACATTATTAATGTCAGTCTCAATGACGTGGGTATTTCAGCTGTTCAATGACTTTCTGTGAAACAGACATGCCGAAAATAACACTTGAGGGTCAAAGAATGTTTACAGAACAATTGATAGGAGCATATTATATACATGTACAGTAACATGTGTACATGAAGTTTATTAACCATTTACCTGCTCAATTTCTTAAATGGGCTTGTCCAGCTTCCATTTTTGGAACTGTTCATTATTGGGGATATTAGGAATACAGAGCCTAGTACGACGGTTTATATGTGCGGTCTGACCGGTGGCAATCACTAATAATATTCACATATACATGTAATAATCACTCGGATAATCACTTTTTATTTCAGCTATTTTGAATCCCAATCTGATTAAAATCAGTCCCTAATTAAAGCTACATGCAAGAATTAACTTTAGTTTATCTGAATTTTAGTCATATCTGAACATTCTTTCCTTTTTGAATATTTGACTTTCTGCTTGCAAAAGACTGGCAAAAGCCATACTATAATATGTCCCGAAGTTTCTTCTGGCATTTAAAAATATTTTGTCATTTTCATTGTCAACATGCCATACAAAAACAAATATGAAAAGTCAATGCCATAGTTTTTTTTATACGGAAATGGATCACTTCCAACCACACAAACTTTTACAAACTTGAATACAGCTCCTGCTGAATCTATTGCTTAGAGTTGTTGCTCCAGAAAGGTGTTTTGGAAAGAGACTATTGCTCTGTAGAAAGGTGTACTGCTGGGGCTGTATTTTACAGAATGTAGTGCCGTGCCATGTCTATAGCAATATCTTTTTTATTATCATATTTCAATGTCAAGGTCAATGGTACAATAAAAACAATTAGACAAACTTAATTTGACGACCTTGACCTTTCTACAATACTTGTATGCTTGTGACAGATAGTAAAATGAGGATCATTTTTGATGAAAAGTTTTGCGCTCACTTGAATTTAACAGAGGAAAGCCATGTGCTCACTTAAGCATAACCATTTCGGTATACCAGGGCCTCTGCATGAAATACTTATCCTGATGCAGGGCTTGCTGGTTGAATACTACCTGGTACATATCAAATCAGCACAAAGTGTGTCATAGTTATCAAAATTAAAGTATCAAGTACTGGGTAGAAGGTGACATTTGAATTCAGCATATTTATGCAGTAGATGCCCATTCAAACAGGTGGTTGTCAAGTAATGGTTTTAATAATAATGAAAATTCATGGAGTTGGAAGATCGTCATTTTAATCATAGCACGTCTCCAGATTTGTGTAAATGAAAACTTTAATATAGTCTTCATGAGTAAAATAATGTCTACAAGGATTGATCAAAAAGTTCTCGGCCCGATGTACTTCCGGTAGTCAGAGAACCTAATTAATCGTCTTACTTTCCAATATAATAGCCCTTTACATCAATGCACTTTGTCCATCTGTGCTCCAACTTGTTTAACCCTTCAAAAAAAGAACTCTTTATTTTGGTCCTCAAAGAACTCATTGGCCGCCTCCATGACACCTTCATTGCTTCCAAAATGTCTACCACGAAGACTGGTTTTCACTTTAGGAAACAGGTAGAAATCAGAGGGGGCCAAGTCAGGAAAATATGGGGGATGGGGAAGAATTTCAAAGCCGCAATCTGTTGCAGCAGCCATCGCAACTTGGGATGTGTGAGCTGGCGCATTGTCGTGCAGGAGCAGAACGCCTCAGAGTCAGTTTGCCCCTCCTTTTACGCGCGATTTCCTGACGCAGACGGTCAATTCGTCTGCATGGTACGTACCGTTTATGGTATGACCTTGCTCAAGATAGTCAATCATGATTATCCCCAGACTATCCCAAAAACATTGAAGCCATCATCTTACCTGCTGATGGCACCCTCTTGAATTTCTTCGGAGAGGTGAGCCAGGGTGCTTCCACTGCATGCTCTGTTCTTTCGATTCTGGATCAAAGTGATGGACCCATGTTTCATCCTGAGTTACGACCCGGTAGATAAAATCAGGTTCATCCTCGTAGCGAGACAAAAGATATCTTGAAATGTCAAGCCTGGTCCGTTTCTGGTCGTCAGTCAACTGTCTGGGGACCCACCTAGCGGAAACCTTTGACATGCCATAGACATCAGTCAGAATTGCCTGAACTAAACCAAAGCTTATACAATGCTTCGCAGGTTTCGCCTTCTGTCGCACATGACAAGATCGTGCACAGCTTCGGCAGTTTCATCGTTGGTGGCCTCTTTTGGTCATCTCCAATGCTCTCCCTGCCCCTCTTAAATTCAGCAGCCCATTTTTTCACAGTGCTTATAGGAAGGGGACTTCTTCCAAAGTGTATCCATAAAGTCTTCATGGATTTCCTTGGGGAACATCCCTTTCTTACAAAGGTACTTAATGACGGCTCTGATTTCAACTTTCTCCATTTGGTCTAAATGACATACACCCCTACTGATCAAAGTGTGTTTTGTTACTTAATCTGTGTAAAACCGAGTGTAACTCGGGCAGTAATCTTCAATAAGATATCGGTATCGACTGTCAGTGAAGTGGCTAGAAGTATATCGGGCCGAGAACTTTTTGATCATACCTCGTACATCCGAGCCTGAGGCACCTTTTATCTACAAAAACTACATAAAACTTCTCAAATAATGCAGAAAATTTTCTTACTTCTTTAGAAACATGGTAGAATTTTGGTGATAGAATAGTAAATTCTGTAATATACATGAATATATAGCATTATATATTCAGTTATGTAATAGTGTGATAATTTATTTATTTGTTAAACTATACGTACTATAAATAACTTTTTTCTAAAGTTTTATTTTTGAAAATTAATTCATATATCTGTACAGGCATGCTGCTTTAACCCTTAAAATAATTGAACAACAACAACAACAAGAACACAATTCAGACTGCCCAAATATTACTTTATTGATATCTTTTGTTTTGACAAAGTTTACACATATGATGGTACTGTGAACATTATTAAATAAAACAAAATTTGAGACATTCTACAAATAATAAATTGATTTCAACCTATTTCAAGCAGCTTATTCGAAATATAAAATAAATAAAAATACCAGTATTGTTCCTTGATCTTTAATACTGTATTTTCTTTTGACCACATAAAAATTTAAAATGTTTTATTTATCACTTTAACCTTTTTTTCTTGTAAATGTTGATGACAACTTAAAGGACTTGGTTCATGCATTCTTTTCAAACATACAACAATATACATGATAATAATGTTAAGTTTAATGAGCAGCCATGAAAAAAGAGGACATTTACTCAATTTAACACTAATAATTTTGCAATATTTCACAAGTAGTTTGTCTTGGTGCCAAATTTTTGTATCTGTTGCTGTATAAGTTAGCAGTTAGAAAAAGCATAGCAAAGTGATCATGTATTTACTCACATATTAAATTGATCATCTATAAAACTGGGTCTGTTTTTAATATTAAAATGTATAAATCTATATATCAGATGCAAAAATTATTTTAAAAAAAACAACACCTCATTAACAGATACAGTTTATTTAAACATGTTTTTGTGGTTATTTAAACTTTCAAACAAAGTTCAAAGTTAATTTGAGTAAAGTATTCTTTTTAAAATGGCCAAAAAATGAATAAATGAATAAACACAAACATTAAACTAAGATTACACAGTTATATTTTTAAAGCAATAGATTTTATATGTATTTATTCTTTTAATTTTCTGTACTGCAGTAATATATAAAATAGTATGTTTACAAAGTATTTGTTGTTTTTATACATACCAATGTAAAAAAAAATATATCTGAAGATTAATAACATGTCTAAAAATTTAATAAAAGGTATATAAATTACTTGCTAGGCTAGTAATAAATTCTTAATGTGATAAACATGGTTTAAAAATTGCTACAGTATTTTTTTTAATTTCTTAAAATGTTAGATATAAAATGTAAAGGAATAGAATGGTAAGAAAAGTACAATGTAGAAAAAAGCAATATTTCATTTCTATCACTGTAAACATGTTTTGTCATCTAGAAGGAAGCATGAGAAAGTCACACACAAACTCCTAAATATTGAGATATAAAAAATTAAAGTTACCAGTAGAGCCATTAAATTTCTAGTAATGATTCTAATTAATTACCTACATTTATATCAAAGAAATACATATATAAAGCCTATAATATCATAGTGTATATAATATATATGTAAATATAAATGATAAACTATCAGAGATAAAACTTAACAAGAAATATAACAACTGGATGTAACAAAAAAATAGGTTGGAAACCACCAAAACAGTAAGGTAGGAAACCACCAAATATGGAAATTACATTTGGTATTCAAAGGGAGAAAACCATTATTAGGAAAAAATGTATCAGTTACTTCCCTTGTGCATCAGACACATTTTAATATATTTCAAAAATTCATTTAACTAGTGTTTAAACTTTATCAAAAATGGGTTAAATGCATAAATCATTTATGATATTGCACTTATTCAATACACTATACTAATACTCAATATGTAGGTGGGACACACACGGTGGGATTTTCTAAATACATGGAACAGAAACTAATGGAGAACAAATATGAATTGCAAATTGATTTTATAATAAATGTAGTTGACGGTTAGACATTTCTTTATGTTGTCAGTATTTATCCTGTGCATTTAGGCAATCTGCTAACAAAGACCACCTTGACTTAAAACACCAGGTACTAGTATTTCCCATCATTAAATTTTACTCTGTGAATAAAGACAACCTCCATACACATATTTCTTTTCATGGTGTCACCTATTTGGTCTTTCTTGGTAATAACTAAATGTTTAATTTATATTTGAAAAGGTTACTGAGCATCTGCCATAAGAGATTATTGAAAGAAGTAGGGAAAATAAAAGAATCATGAACAAAGATTTAATGTAAACCAACACGACTACAACAACAACAATCTTATAACATCCAAAATGATTTCATTCTAACAAGTCAATAGAGACATAAAATTATTGTGACAAAAACAAATTTTTAAACCAAGACCAGTTTATAGTGACTTGTTAACTGAAACCCAGATTTATTGAGACTATTTAACAGACTGATGTTTATTGTTACCAGTTTACTCAGACAAGTTATTTGTGACTATTTACCTGAGATCACATTGTTGTGACATGTTAACTGAGACCAGCTAATTGTGACAATTTAACCAGCTTATTGTGACAAGTAAACTGAAAAAGCCTGTTGTGACTAGTTAACTGTGACCAGCTTATTGTGACAAGTTAACCAGCTTTTTGTGACAAGTTAACCAGCTTTTTGTGACAAGTTAACCAGCTTATTGTGACAAGTTAACCAGCTTTTTGTGACAATTTAACTGTGCCCATCTTATTGTGACAAGTTAACTGAGACCGCCTTATTGTGACAAGTTTATATAGAGCACCTTATTGTGAAAAAGTTTATATAGAGCATCTTATTGTGAAAAAGTTTATCAGCTTATAATGACTAGTTAACAGAGACCACCTTATCGAGACAGAACCAGCTTATTGTTATTTGTATGCAAATATTTGATTTCATTTATTGTCAGGCAAATGTTCAGTAAAATGTAAAAAATAATGTTAAATAAGATGTTTTTTTTTTAAAATGAACTCATGTAGATGACAAGCTAAAGATTTAAAGTTTATGAACATTATAAAATGATCACTTATCTAACTGATTCTTAGCATTATGTGATTGGTTACATAGAAATTGTTATACAGGGCAGTTTAGGCCAGTGAGACAGAAAATATGAGTTACTGAAAGTACTATTTCCTCTTTAACAATTTACTTGTCACAATTCACTCACTTACATAATTATAAACAGAACAAGTTTTATTAACTTTTTGGCAAATTATGTGCAGAGTTTTGTAAAAAATGTCATTCAAGACTGGAATAAAAGTCACAATTTTGTTCAAAGTTCACTCCTTTGCATTATTTTAAGGACTTTGAATAGAGTTTGTTCCCTTGTTTTACTTTAAGGACTTTTTACAGAGTTCATTCTCTAGTATGATTTTTATGGATTTTGTAGGAATGTAGACACTTTAAAAGGAATGTTTTCTTAAATAAAATAGAAAAAAACTAATCAAAGTCAATAAACAACTATGCCTTAAAATACAATGAATTGAAAAAAGCTTAGTATAGGTTTCAAACAAAACAGCATTAACATTATAATCAGTTAATAAATATAATAAATATATTGTAATCCCTAAAAAAATTACATAATGTAAAAATCATTTGCAAGTCGCGTTTATAATTTGTGAAAAAATAATTTTCCTGAATGATATTTTTGGTCTTAATTAAGATCTTTCAAAAACAATCAATTAATACCCTTATCTTAGGGCAATTCCTATTCAAGAGATTTCACAAACTCATTTTTCATTAAAGAGTTATTTCTTTGAATAAGAACATTAGAAACATAAATAAAACACAAATTAGTTCATTTCTGTTAAATATCTTTTTTATTAGATATCACAATCATTTTGAAATGATATAACAAGAGACATTGTATATTGCACAATAAACCACTAGAATTAACCTTCTCTATCATCATTACATGATAAAAGAGCTATTTTGAAACAAAAACCAATGGGAAAAAGAAGGCAACAGCTTTTGGGGTAACAAGTTGTCACAACAACTTTTCAATTTTTAAGAGGAATTTAACAGTTCTTTGTTAAAGTAAAAATTTCACAATATTACTGCGGTAAATTCTCATTTCAAAATATACAAAATATGTTAAAATGTATTCTCAAATTATTTATAATCAAAGGAATATTTTCGTAACAAAAAAACCCATAGAAATTTGATTAAATTCATTCATTTTACAAACTGCACCTCATATAATCTACAAAACAATGGAATAAAATACATTTTCAATAGTTTAACAGTCTTTGGTTACATACCTTAACAATCAGAAAAAACTTTTCCTAAAATTAAAACAACAAACTTATTCTAAATCTATGAGTTAAGATCAGACTCTTAAGACAGAGTTTGCAATGTGTAAAATTTAAAATTGTGCTAAAAATAACAACCAATCAGATACATGAATTTTTCCTAAAAATAACAACCAATCAGATATTTAAATTGCATTAAGAAAGCAACCAATCAGATATTGATAATTTTTAGCCAGAGACTAGTTTAGCTTTTGTATATGATTAATCATTATTTTTTATCGCAAACTAGACCATAATAAATTAATGTCAGATCCTTATGCAAGATATGATTTATATTACTTAAGAAACATAAAAGGAAAATACAATCTTATACTATTAAACTCTCTGTCTTTTCTCTAAGCGCATATTGTTATGTAACAATGTTAATGAATACAACAGCTGTCATACTTTATTCTACCAAAACACAATCATTGAACAAACTTTTTAATGAATCATTCTTTTAAAGAGCCAGGAGGTTTGTTCTTATCTGTATAAAATTATAGTCATTTTAATTAATTTTTTTTGAAGAAAAAAATATGGGAACATTTATTCACTAGCACAACAAAAATGATAATTTATGTTGCTCTTAAAATAGACATCAAGTAATATTGAACAATTTTAATTCACAAAATACAATTAACAAGAAAAAAGTCCATAAGTAGTTCTTTATTCCATTATTCAGTGTGTTGATTCTATTTATAGAATCAGGTCATGTGACTGACTCTGAAAAGTCATGTGACCTACTGTGGGAGGGCCTTCAGAATGGCATGAACCTCTTCTGCAACGGCGGCCAGAGCAAACTGAAACTGCTCCTGCAAGATAGAAACAAACAATGTATACAAATGTGTAAACAAAGAATAAAATGCCAGGAAAAATGATAATAATGGTTCATCTATACTGACTGATAAATTAAAAAGGCATTTTAACAAAAAAAAACCCCAAAGAAAATGAAACAACAGTAACTAATACAAGATAATATACCTGGCTAATACTAACAAAATTCAAATATTTTTGAAAAGCCAATCCATTTTATAAAGAAAACCTCAGCCACTATCATGTTTCAAGGAAGGAATTTCAATCATCTTTTTGCCATAGGAAAAAAAAGCAACCAAATAAGATTTTCTTCATTATAAAAAGAAACATATTTTTTCTTCTATAGAGAAAAAAAGCAACAAATAAAACAACATTTCAATTGGCGACAAGTTCAACAAACAGAAATTCAACATAATTTTCAACAGAGAAGAAAAAAAACTTGAACATTCGCAGTGCATGTGATGTGCTAATGTTCTGCACATCTTTGCAACAGGCTTAACATGTCATTAACACTTAAAATGTGCACTTTCAAAAATGTCTCTGAGGGAAAATTCTGTTTAAACAAATGACACACTGAGCTCCTAGAAATAGCAGAAATTACATTGATTCCAAGACCTCCAAATTATCCATGCTGCAAAATTTACAAAATTTGCTGTAAAATTACTCTAATTTTCCCCACTAATTAAGCCCACTTTTTGTCACTGAAATCTCACTCATTTGACTATTACCAGTCTACAAAACTCCCATAATGCAACCTTAAGCAACTAGATAGAAAATATAAAAAATTCCTTCAGCTAAAATTGAAGTCAGCTAATTTTAAAGGAAAGTTTAATTTTCCACAGAAGATTATATTACTGCATTTCAAAATAAAATTGAAAAAAAATTCATCTAAACACAGAGTACTCCCATATCACATATTTTTACATGTTATACTAATGCTGAATAATCAAAACTGACAAAAAAAACAACATGTTTTAATTAAAGAATACGAAAAAATAAAGGGAGGGGGTACAATTTAACAGCTGTCTATAAAAAAAATCAGCTCATTATAGCCTAAGCAAAATAAGGGAGTAAAATACAACAGCTGCACTTTTAAAACTGGTTTTGGAATATAACCATAACAGTTGATCTCTAACTCAAATTTTTACCATTCACAAATACCTTCAGCAAAATTTTTACTGTAATGAATGAAGAAAAATTAAATTTTGAATTTGAAAATAATTTTCATGTAATAAATAAATAAAGAAAAAGGCCTTTAATAGTTATTGAAAAAAATTCTTCTATCTTAAAACACAGAGGAGGCTGTGGGTGGGGTAGGTTGCAATGATGCATAGATGTGACATACCTTAGTTTTGACCATACTGATTCTCTGATCCCGAATATGCTCCAGGGTGGCAGCTATATCAATCTCCTTAGCTCCTGTAAATATAATTGTGAACATTTATATTTTAAATTCTTTAGAAAAATATTCTAAACATTTCAATTACCTACTTGAACCAAAAGTTATTGACCTTTGACACTAATATAGAACCAACCTAACCTGCAGTTTCATGCAGTCTAATCAGACATTACATTTGGCTGTAAAATTCTCTACAAGTATTTATTTAGCAGGTCTATTTTACAAATTTTGCAGGTTAATAAATGGTTAAATCACATTTAACTTAAGTCATCTTCTTAGACTCACAAGTTATACAGGCTTTTTAACAGAATGGTAGAATAAACTAGAACTAGAAATATGTTGTAACACCAATAATGAGTTTATACTGGATATCTAAGGTAATAAAATTATCCATTTGTTCTTTACCAATATTAGTTAAACCATAACTGTCAAAAAAAAACATCTTCATTGAAAAATTCTTAAGTCTTTTTTCAAAAGTAAAGGGGCATAACTCTGTCAAAAATCATCGAGCTCTGACCAAATTTGAACTTGACCTGAATATCTCTTTAACATATCCATATGCCAAACTTGAGTTGAATGTGTACAGCAGTTGGGAAGATAATGAACTGAAACTGACGATGACAGAATGACGAAACAGGGTAACACTATTATGCTCTGGCCACTTTATGGCAGGGGCATAAAAATTAGAAATAAATTCTATGAGAAAACTAGAAATAGTAGCAAGTTTCTAGCATTAAATTTGGAGGTGTATACAACATGTAACACCATAACACAAAAACTATTTGAGCCGCGCCATGACAAAACCAACATAGTGGGTTTGCGACCAGCATGGATCCAGACCAGCCTGCACATCTGTGCAGTCTGATCAGGATCCATGCTGTTCGCTTACCAACTCTATTACAAGTAGAGAAACTGATAGCGAACAGCATGGATCCTGATCAGACTGCACGGATGCGCAGGCTGGTCTGGATCCATGCTGGTCGCAAACCCACTATGTTGGTTTTGTCGTGACGTGGCTCATTTGTAGATTTTAATTACCTGATTTTAATTTTTAGCAAAAACACACACACACAAACACCATAAGATTTTATGTTAATATGAAAATATCATCATAGGCACAAAAGTAAGAAAGACAAATTAAAATATCAGAATTTAAGAGAAAAAAACTGTATACATCTGCTTTTTCAAAGAAAATCCTATTCCTATAAACTCAAACTGACAGAAAAACTGTTATTAGCAAAAACTATCATAGAATTGAAGGGAAAGGGGGGGATAAAGAAATAAATTTCTCATATGGTGTTAACTTAAATATTACACGTTGCCACGGTAACCAGAGATTTTTTCCTATTTAATATTAAATGTCTTGTAGAGGCCAGGTATGAAATCAGCACGTGGGTGTTCTCTGTAAACTGTGATATAAAACTTTGTATTCTAATGTAATACTATACATTGTCACAAGAAGATCATTTTCTATGAGACATGTTCTAAATTGAATTCATCTTCTCATACGTACGCATGTTATACAAATATGTCATTGAACTTGTTTGGTATGCAACTTTAATTTTATAACTTGAGTACAATAACAGTAACTATTCATCATTTACCAACTGAATTTGTGTAATGAACTTCCTCTGTTTTAAATGTTTTGTGTGGCAGCGTAGCCAAACTGTTAACACATCGGACTAGTAATTTAAAGATTGCTGTATGCATTGGTTCAAACCCCGTCAGGAGCAAGCTGTTGTTCCGTAGGCAAGAACCTTAACACTCATTGCTTAGTACTGGTTGGTTCCAGGAACGATTTCTAGAGTGTTTCAATAAGCTTTTATTTTCCTACACAATCAAACTAAAATAAATTTGAATACATTAAACCTGGCACTGTCCATTATTTATTTTCAGGTATTTCAAAATTGAATTATGAAGCCCACCTTTAAAGAGTTTGTTCAGAATGCCCGTACATGGATGAAAGTTGAAAATCAGAAAAAGATATTTTAATTTTGAATGTAACGTTTCTTCAATATAATGTAATCCTGTGACCATTAAATGGCTTTGGCAGGTAGAGCTCATCAAAGTGCAAGCTGATATGATGTTTGAAAGCTGAAGGTGAAAGGTCATCTTTCCTATGATCTTGTTTAACGTTTTGTGACAAGCAGACATACTGACCAAAAGCAATAATGCCCTCTAGATTAATAATATCTGTCATATTTTGCGGTTCGGATCGGAATATCCGTCCAGAGGTGACCCGCCCATTGGGCGGTAACGAGGCTTGCCGAGTTACCGCCCATGGGCGGGTGACCGAGGGACGGATATTCCGATCCGAACCGCAAACATATGTCAGATATTTTTTCTTGCATATTCTACCATATTCCATTATATTTTAAATTCTTTATCTTTATTTTCAATGAAAATTTATATCATTACAACCGTAACTACTTTCATTCAACAGCGTATGAATTACAAAATTATTCATAACGGTAAAATGACGTCAACTTTATCGTGCCATTGTACAGCACGCGACTCATCTGGAACCCCCCATGCCAGATGACATTTCCGGCATGGGTAAAACTAACGGAAACGCCAGTCTGATATGCAAGAATTATTGATCTGAGGATGTAAAAATAGCCCTATTATTTCTAATGAGCTTCAAGACAGTTTATTAGTCTTCTTTTTATGTTATTTATTTATTTTTAGAAATGATTTCCCTGTTGTAACATGGACATTAATTTTCTTATAGAAAGACATATATGTATATAGAGGTATAATTACATTAATTGTCATTTAATTCAGACACAATACATTAAAAAAAGTCTGAGAGAGTGTTATTCAGCGAGCATATGGCATCAACTTTACAACTTTCTGTGACGGATATAATGTACTGGTAAGTTTTTAAACAATGACAAGAAATTAAGACTTTTTTCTCATTAGATCTTATGGATCCAGAAAACACAGAAAAACATGTGGCGGGAGATCATGAGATGAGGTCCTTAATCAGGGGATTTTGTCAATGTAATACCAATATTGTAAATTTGCCCCCATCATGTGATACATGGCATGTATGCTGTATGTACTAGAAAATAAGATATAATGGTTATATAACATGAAAAACAAGCAGCACCTTGTGATAACTATAAATAGAAATATAATTACATACGGAAGACTTTCGATTAGAGGGAAAAAAAATTGTGAATAAAGTAACTTGATACGACCCTAACATAAGATTATGCTTGTGAACACACTAGCAGACGTCTCTCATTAATTATAAATGACAAATTATCAATGTAATACCACTATTGTCATTTTTCTAAATAAGTTTAAATAGAAAGGCAGACATGCACGTCCCCGAGGATTACTTTCGAAATATTAAAATCCGAGAGAATAGCATAGATCAATTTGCTTCAATTTCTAGAAACAATGCAGCTTAGTATATCTGTCAAATATTATTGTAGTATTAAACGGGACTATTTTCCGAGCTTAAATAAAGGAAAAGGATGAAACACACTTTTTTGCTACTTCATAAGGAGCTTACAACTTTTCTGACTTTGTTCACAAACAAATTTATAAAAATTTATAGTGCATTTAATGAAAGAACATTGCTGAGGAAATTATATTTTATAGTTCATGTGCATCCATGTTTGTACATGTAATTGGTAAACATTTAAAAATTAAAAAAAGACAGAATCTTCATTCTTTTTCTAAAATTTTGTCTTTAAGTTATAGGTGCTTGTTTACAAACCAGAATTTGTATGCCTTGGCGTTTTTAGTTTCTGATTTTCAAACTGAACCTTTCTTTACAGACAAGTTTAAGTCTTTATCCATAAAAACCCTTTCCCTAAAAAGATTTTTTTTTCTTGGTGAAATTCAAATCACTACAACACTGTTAAGATCATATGGCTACATTCCACTGTTTACTGATGGAGGATTATTTAAGATGTATCTCTATGCATATTTCTGGACATAAATTAGTCAGCCCCTGAGTAAAAGCACTGACCATCCTGTATACTAGACCAAAACTTATGACCAACTATATCTAACAGTTTACCACAAGTAGAGTACAAACCTTTTGCCATTCTGTTAAGAACCATGTCGACAAGACAGTAAGTCCCTGTGCGACCACACCCATCACTGAAAGTAATAAATAATACATTTTAGAAATACAAGGGAGTATGGGATATTTTCTTTGTGGTATTTAAAGGCAGTTTATACAGAATACATGTACAACACTAACACTTTAACTATATGCTTCTCCTATTCAGGAGTGGCGTGTCCATCATTAGCAAGAAATCAAGCGGAAAGCTTTGTAAAAGGGTTCTAATTTTGGCATGTTTGAACAAAAATAATGACACTTTGCATTACATGACTACAGACTCAAGAATTGGTGATGACCATGTGTGGTTGACATTTAATTACAATTCATCACTGCTGAAGACAAAACACTGGTAGTCTGAATGAAGAACATGACAAATTTAGTCATAGATTTTCAGCAGGTTATATGACCCAGTAATATAAATGGTTATAATTATAGCAAACAACCATAAATGTACAGCTACTTTACCCATGTATATGCTACACAACTGCATTCTTACATTAAAATAAAAGTTAATTTAAACATTTTCAGCAGCCATGTATAACAATAATATGTTATCCTCCTCTTGTCTTTTTATTTAACAATCATAGTGGAATATAAAACGAAAATTTAAATTTTAATATTGCTTTATCCTGTCACACTAATATCTTATATGTTAATTGTTTATCTATCAATCTGGACAAAAATATTCATTACTTTTAGGAAAAATTTCATTGTACATGTATAGTCAGTACTTGGATAGAGAGTGGCGACCATGATCAGTTGGCACCAGTCAGCCAATAGGCAAAGGGTTAATATAGATAATGGACATGTGGTTCTTTGACTTAAGAAGATTTCATTATCATTTTACAATTGCGAAGCCAACACTTAAGAATACAGCCTGTAAAACTTCACAAACATGTATGCTGGCCCGAGTTGCTCTATACTAGTTACAATAGCCTACCCTTAAATGTTCCAGTCTGGCATTTAAACAACAAACATATAACAATATATATCATACCTGCAGTGTACAACGATTGGGCAGGAGCGCCCCCTGTAAGACTTGTTCACCTTTCTGAAATAAGAGAGAAAAATACTATAAATAATATTAGTCAATTGAGGGAGGACTTCAGCGTACCCGTTTTTATACTCTGACTAATGCTGCATCAGATGAAAGAAATTGGCTTATAAAGTTTTGGCAGCCAGCATGTGTGAAGGCAAGCAAGTTAAAAAATATCATCACCATAAATGGCTTAACTTATCAAACATTTTCCTGCTTTATAACAATATCTATCAATAGGATGCTACAAGCATCTTTAAATCCTTGGACTATTGCAGGAAATTTGGATTCTGCCAATTTCTAGGTTACGAGTACAAGGTAAATCTCAAATTGAAGTAAAATATTCCTATAAAAAGATTGATGTAGAGGGAAACAACAGGTTTTAATCTTGTTATATCAGATATAAGAACACATCATAAAACATACTAAATTTTATGACAAAATACAGAAAAAATATCAAAATTTCTTCCAGTCAGACAATTATTATACCTTTTAACCACTTTATAATCTTATTAAAATCATAAACACACCAGCAAATTTTTTGTCATATATTGTAGATCCATTAATCTGGTAAAATATACAATCATATATAGGCCGTATTTTCTAACAAAAACTATACGGCCCTAAAAAAAACTTCTGGAATTTGCAAATTATATATAAAGACGTGACAGACAGTTCTCTTGAAATTTACAAATTATATATCATGTTTCGAATTTACATCGCCTATTCCATCTTATAGATAAAAAAGAAAACAAAATTATAGGTGTAATCAAATACTATATCACACTCTAAGTATAGTATCAAGATCTTAAAATGATCATAAAATCGACTCCGTCAACGTGGTGGTGCAAACACACTCTGTATATATTTAAAGGAAACAATCCCCCTCTATTCCGATTAACATACACATGGTAAATTTTCTATTTCCGTACAATGTAAATGAAGATGGAATAAAATAAGAGAAGTAAGACACAAGCCTATATAAAGTTCAGGATTTTTTCTTGTATTTTTTAACTTAATCAACATTAAATGTTTACAGTTTGTCACTGATTATTTTATTTTCACTGAAATATTTCCAGTGTTTATATAAGGTGTTATCAATGTAAGTTTAGTTGGCCTCCTTGACAGTTTACTGACTTGATAGAGTTGCCTCCCTTTATCAAGTCAGACGAAAATACTTAAAATAAGTGTTGCTTGTCTCATCAAATATTCATAATAAAGTTATATATCAAGGGAGAGTAATATTACAGTATATATACCGTAGACAAGAAAGATGTTGCTTGAAAAAGAACCAGGAAGTCATTAACACAAGTCAGGCTGCTAATTAATTCCAGAGTTAATAACACAATTTCAAATTAAAGAAAATATATTTATCATACAAATGTAGCAAGAGATTAAAGTTTTTATTTTGCTTATTTATTTACTGCTGCTTTTGTATGTTTCAATATATGTACTACAACATGATTTATGTAGAAGTATGAAAACTAAAAGAAGCATGCATATACATATGTATTTTGCTGTACAAGAAATTTTTCTGAAAAAGAAGTTTTTAAGAGCATGCTTTGCAAAGATGAAAAAACAACACAAATTCTTTTGTCAATGAATTGTCTTATTATTGAAGACACTAAAAGTACAAAATGTTTCAATTTACTAATGTTTGTAAATCTACGCTAAATGACCAATTCATTTGATGTTGTCCACGTCCCCAACAAACATCCTACACATCAACATTTTCAGTTTAACCTTCTTTCTATCCTGCGGACACAAGCCTTTTAAAGCATATTTCAGTGAAGTGATCAGTTGTCTTCATTTTTCACCATCCTCTGTAACCCAGACTACAGGTATTTATCATCATCTATAAAAGTTAATGTAGTATAAAGGAAATGTGTCGCTTTGTTTCCAACCAAGCTTTTTTCTTGATGCCCTTAACAAAATCATCAACTTCACATCCAGTTATAGTTGTCAGGTTTCCTGTTTCCATGGTGATAATTTCAGCCTCCATCTCATTTTTATCTTCTCCACTTAATAAGGGCAGCTATCATTAAGGGTCATTTAATAATCCCTTAGCCGCTGTAAAACCAGGTTTCATTGTTACAGAAAACTGAAAGTCAAATTTCATAATATTTCCATGATATTTCCTATGACCAGTCTATCCTATTTTCCAAGATAACCCAGGATGTTATATCAATTAAATAATTTTTAATGAACTAATTGTCTTTGATATTTTGCTCATTATGTTTTTTTTTCTCCATTTTTTTAAACTCCTTTAAGAGATATTTATGGCAAAATTTCCACAAAAGTCTTGAAAATTCCATGATATTTGTATGACAAATTTTTGTGTTCTGAATTTCCATGACATTTCCATGACATTATAGACTACTTTTCCATGATATTTCCATGTCTGTGCAAACTCTGTAAAAACATTTTGTAAGCAATGATTTAATATGGTCTCTATTTTCCATGTCCTTGTTTATTGTGCGCCTTGATGACCAAGTCGGTGAAATTTGTGAGTGTGAACTCATGCTAATTGTTTGTTTTTTTATGCTACACATGCCATGAACATTAATGCAATTCACAAGTTGATCTGTGAATACAAATCATAAGTGAAGAATTTCATTAGTGAAGAATGTTACTGGTTTAGTTGTGAAAACCTACCCACCGGATCACTTTTGTGACTATGCAATTTGGTTTATGCACAATTGCTAAACCACAAAAGCTCCCCCATAGGTAATCAAAGCAGGATGCAGGGGCAACAACTCATCTTGTGCTTGCTGACTGTTTTTGATAAAATATTTTTCACTTCAAAGGGTAGCAATCCAAATTATCTTCAAACAAGGTTATGCACCAAAGGGAGATAATCCAAACTAATTGTTAAACAAAGATTTAAGTACAGAAAAGACGAAAACATCCAAAAACTGTAAAATGCTTTTCCTTTTCAAAATACCAAGAAGAAATCATGCATGGATTATTTGCAGTTGACCAAATCCCTGCCAATTCATTGCTTTGAGAATTTGACAGATCACGAATTTTCAACAAAACAACAAATAAAATATTGAGATGTAAAAAAACACCAAAAACAACACCGAAATTGATAAAAACATGCATGCACATTTGCTTTGGATAAAACATGTGGGGAGAAAAAAGGAAATGGCTTGTTCAGAAGATTGCTGAAATTGATTGCACTGAATTTTAAAACAGACCAAAGTAAAAATCCTTTCATAAAATAAGAAGGGGAGATTTAAGGATTAAGTTTAAAGGGGAGATAACAAAAAAGGAAGTTACAACAACAACAAGCACAAGATAGTTTGCAGGAATTACTTTTTACATCACATAAAAATAATTTTTTATACAAAATATCTTTCTTTTATTTCATTTTTTTTTTTAACAAATGCCCCCTCCCACCAAAAAATTGCCAAAATAAACTCATTTTGATTGATTGAGGAACGTGGTGGGTTTTTTGCTTTTTCTGAATGGCTTGGAAAGTTAAAGTTGCCAGTATAAAACTGGTCAGACTATATAAAGCTATACAGCCTAGCCAAGCTCAATACAGGTGGGCATCGGCACAAAATCAGTTTGGCTGTTACCACTCAAAGAATAAATATTTTAATACTTTTGACTAAACGATAAAGATATATAGCTAAGAATGATAAATTTAAACTTGCTTTTCAGACCTTGCAATTTTATTATTATTAGTATTGATAGTAAACGAATATATCTAAAGAAGTAAAAAATTCCATGTTTACAAATTAGTTCCATAAATATCACTGTTACATGACATTACTTCTGACAGCATGTACAAAACAAAATTTCACAATATACAAAGCTGATAAATAACATGAAGCATTTTATATATTAGCATACACCATTAAAATATAAGTACCCTTCTTCTCAACCTGTTTCATCCAACCAATTTTATGTAATGGACTTGTCCTTTTTTCTAATTTGGAACAGTCCATAGTAAATGTGAGGTCGGTATTGATATATAGAAGGAATTTATAGCCATATCAGACTGCTCGCTTGACTGCTGGTACATTCAATTAGCATTTGACTGTGATAGCATTTTTGCCAAAAAGGCCTTTTTGTTGCAATAACCTTTTTGCTGCAATGCCAAAAAGGCCTCTTTATTGCAATAACCTTTTTGCTGCAATAGCCATTACACTGCAATAAATTTTACCATACAATAACCTTTTTGCAAAATTAGCCTGTTCACTGCAATAGCCTTTACCATGCATCTTTTGCTGCAATTACATTTACACTGAATAACATTTTTGCTGCAATAACATTTTTGCTTCAATAATCTTTATATTTTGAGCTGATTTGTTCTGCAACTGTCAAATGCTAATTTCATTGATATCAAGGTCAAATAAGGTACTATAAAAAGTACCCAACACCTTTGGGTATGTGATCAAACTATATGCATGCAAATTGTGTAGCCCGGTCTGGTATACCCATAATCACTGTCAGTGTTCCATGAACTCAAATGCCAAAATATACTGCTTCAAATAAATACTTTATGTAAAGCTTATATCTAAAGCCAAGTACAATGTATGGATAACAAAAATTCGAGTAATTGTCAGTTTCATTAATAAATAACAGTAAATTTACCAGTATTGTATTTCAACTTTATTGTAAATACAGTTATTATCAGGTGATTATTAAGACATGTAGCTATAATTCATGAATTTATGAAATGCTGGTACATTCATTTCCCTTTATGTTATTAATTTAAAATGCTGATAATTATATTCATTTTCCTTTAAGTTATAATTACTTTTATAAAATGCTGATACATTCATTTCCCTTTATGTTATAAGTAATAGAAAGAGCACCGAAACACGAGGCTATCTGATTTGTACGAGGGGGCGTAGCCCCCGAGTATAAATCAGATTGCCGAGTGTTTTGGTGTTCTTTCTCTTTTGTATCATAGTCAAACATAAAAGCACGTTACCTGTTGTCACAATTTTAAACCCCGGGAAAAAGTAACCAATGATCGAGCATCTAAATATGATATTTCT